TTTTACTAATATTCTGTCAAAATTTTATCAACACACTCTAATTGGGGTGGCAGTGGTAAATTTTTTAAATTACTTCTATTTCCGCAATAATATGAATTTTTAAGGGTGTTTTGAGGGCAGGCATTGGATGACTACAATATGGGGGTGTTTTACTTAGTTGGGCTAGCATTCTGTTAAAATTTTAAATTTCTAATTGGGGTGTAAAAGATACATGAAATTACATATGCAACATATGAAGTCCACGTACGAGTTGTGGATGGAAGATAACAGCGTGAAGGCGATAGTGGAGTGTACTTAATATCTATTCTCATTAAACTGCCTCTACGTCGGCACCTGTGGATGAAAAGTTGTGGATAGCTTCACTCAAACATTCGGCTATGGAAACAGACACAAACAAACAGATTTAAATAAATTATCATACCTTAATTGAAAAAGAAAAGTTATTATAGATCAATTTTTCAAAATGTAGACTATAATAATTAAAGAGTGCGATATAAGCGTATTTTTCATTCCTTTCCTTTCTCCAGTATGAGATATTTATTTAGCCAAAAATAATAATTGATAACAATTTTCACAGGTGGCGAAATACCCAATAAATGGAGGGAAAAGTAAGAATCATAATATGGAATTGTTTGTTTTATAATAACCAAAATACCCTAGCATGGTACAGAAAATCAGATGCGCTCACAAAGCTTATACTATTACTCAGTTCAGTTGGTAGAGGTTCAGCCTGTGTCAAACCTTGACAACCCGGAAATAACTACACAGGCCTACTTTTGACGAGTACAATAACAGGCTAATTTGCTGACAAAGTATTTTATCAGGAAAAAATTATTAACAATTTAATCGTGAAAAAAATTTTTTAGTAGTTTTCTTTAAATAACTCAGCGGGATGACTTTGTACAAAAAAATGCTTAGGACATGATTTTGTAAAGATAGCTACAAAATGGCGGTGGTCCGATTATGAAATTTGCAATAGCAAAGCCATGAGATTGAAAAAAAGGTATAAAACGTCAATTTTTTAAAGTTGCTGTAACAATGTCAGTTATAAACAAAAAGTGATAAAACTTTCGAAAACTATAGTTCAATATATATATATACACTGAGCTCGTAAAGTTTGGAATAAATTCGAAAAATCGTTATTGAAGGGTTTTGACAGAAAATCCTCGGACACGTCAACTTTAGTTTATAAAATGTCACTTTTTTCAGCCATCGACTTTTTTTTTGTTTTGTTTGTTTTTGATCTATGACGTCATCGGCAATTTTTTTAAATGGCCACCCATATTTTTTTCCACGGATTTCGATAGAGCACATTTTTCTGAGTACGAATATGTCAAAANCTATGTATGCCTATACCAAATTTCAAGTGTCAGCAAAACTTCAAACAAATTTGGCAAAGTTTCGAGTTTCAGATGCCGATGGATGTATAAAACCTTATAGAATAAAAAGTTTTGCTCTATTGATTTTCGGCTTTAGCGTCATTATTGTATATACAGGCTGTCTACTATAAGAGGGCCCCTTATATGTGTCTCGCTTAATATACGACGCACGTCAAAAATCTTTATACATTTTTTGTTGCATTTTTTAAGGCCTTTATGCTCGTAAAAACAAATTTGAGATCCATGGCCAACTTTGTCAGTAATCATAAAAAAACCGGAAAAGTACCGAAAGTTTAGGGTCGCCTAACTTTTTTTATTTTAAGAGATAGAGAAAACTTATTTTAATAAAATTTCATGGCAAAATTGATATTTTTCACCTGGTATAAACAGATTTTGGAACTATCGTCTGTAAATTGCAGCGCCCTCTACGCGGGCGAAAAAAATGTCGTCAAAGTAGGCTATTTCCACAAAATAATTGCTTGTTCTTTTCTCTTTCATGCTATATACTACATGTCGCCATTATCTTTTATATTTATTAAATTTTTATACTTTTGATATAAAACAAAAATATAAAAATTTTCATGTTGCTTATGTTAATGTAAACATTAATTTTAAACATAATAACTACAAAAGAATTAATAAATATAATGCACTTCTTTTAAGCAAAATACAGATTTTCTTATTACTTTATTATAGTATTGGTTTTTGCATTAGAGAGAATTAAGCCTTCAACATTGTTCTTTCACAGAGAAAGTAGCTTACGCTAAATCTCGCAAGCTTTAAAAACAAATATGTTACCCCTTTGACCTCAGTAATATCATTTTGGCAAACTGTTTATTGTTATAGATTATACGTAACTGTTGGCTTGAAAACTGTTACAGTTCATTGTTATTTGAAAAATTATCATTTTGAAGGTGTTATAAAATAAAAAAGGGTATGTAATTTGAGGAAGAGGAAAGCTCTATTTCTGTAAGTAGATATATTTATTTTTTTTTATATTTGGCGTGTTTAAAACAATTTCTACATTAACATAAGCAACATGAACATTTTTATATTTGTTTGTATCAAAATTATAAGAAATGTAATAAATATAAAAGATAAAGGCAACATGTAGTATATCGCAAGAAAGAGGAAAAAAACAAGCAATTATTTTGTGGCCATAGTCTACTTCGATGACAATTTTATTTTGCCCGTGTAGGGGGCGCAGCAATTTACATACGATAGTTCCAAAATCTGTTTATACCAGGTGAAAAATATCAATTTTGCCATGAAATTTTATTAAAATAAGTTTTCTCTATCTCTTAAAATAAAAAAGTTAGACGACCCTAAACTTTCGGCACTTTTCCAGTTTTTTTATAAATTCTCACAAAGTTGGCCATGGATCTCAAATTTGTTTTTACGAGCATAAAGGCCTCGAAAAATGCAACAAAAAACATATAAAGATTTTTGACGTGCGACGTATATTAAGCGAGATACATAGAAGGGGCCCACTTACAGTAGACAGCCTGTATATTGAACTATAGTTTTCGAAAGTTTTATCACTTTTTGTTTATAATTGACATTTTTACAGCAACTTTAAAAAATTGACGTTTTATACCGTTTTTCAATGCCACGGCTTTGTTATTGCAAATTTCGTAATCGGACCACCGCCATTTTGTAGCTATTTTTATTACGAACAAAATCATGTCCTAAGCATTTTTTCGTACAAAGTCATCCCGCTGAGTTATTTAAAGAAAACTACTAAAAAAAATTTTTTCACGATAAAATTGTTAATAATTTTTTTTTCCTGATAAAATACTTTGTCAGTAAATTAGCGTGTTATTGTGCTCATCATTTAAAGTATTCCTGTGTAGTTATTTCCGAGTTATCAAGAAAATGTCACCAACAGTAACTTTTCGGCCTCTGCCGACTGAACTATACATTGCACTGTACAACAATTTGTACAATAATATAATATGGAAGCGGTACGTTTTATTTCTTCAGTGGCAACTGTTAGATTAATTTAAACAAAATCAATGTCAACAATATGGATACACCTTTCGTAGTAGGGTTGCTATAGTAACTCGTATTAGTGACAGATGTGACGTTCACTTACAACAAACAGCCGCGATGCACTTCAACTAGACATTCTGTAGTGAGTAGTTTTATTTATACAACATATATTTTTATAATAATTATACATGAACTGACATGTCAAGGACCGACAATAGTGCTAACGAGAATCCCCTTCAGGAAGACTTAAAACTGTGCGGCGACAAAGTATAGTGAGAATGCAAAGTGAAATTCGACTTGAAAATATTAATACTGTTGTAGATAAACCTAGAAGTAAGGCCTTTAAACAAACTAAGCACGGCTAGTTCGAAGTGTTCCTTGCTGACGAAATGTTACTCAAGGCCAGCGTCAGCCCTGCCAATTTTGAATTTGGACGGTAAGGTAAGTGATGTGGGTACAATGTATATATTCGTTAATTTTAAATTATTCGTAGGACGAATTGGAAAACGAATTATTAAAAAGCAAGAGGCCCTTTTCAGCAGGATATGTTCCCAAACGGTGCAAATATTTTTCCAAGGAGTACTTTCAGAGCAGCCTAGAAAGTATAGAGGGTAGAGTAATCGAGATCTTTTAAGCTGTTATACTAGCATCCACCGTTTTTAGAAACACTTCCATTCTGTTTCCTAAGTGTAAAAAACGCTTCTTCACACAGCCGTTAATTACTAATTTAATTGGTTAAAATTGCCTCAATATTACTTATTTTTAAATTTACCTAGGTATATTATGGATAAAAATTCGAAGCGCCTTCGTCAAAATCCAACATATTTATTTTTCAAATAGTAATATTTTTTTAACATTTAGGTAATGCATTTTTTAACATACAGTGAATTGACTATAAATGTATAAATGTTGGAGGTGTCACTTTCACAACCGTGTATTCAAAATAATCCAATATTTGGTAGAGCGATAATAATATAAGGAAATAGTAATATTCCCAACATTTGAACCTTAGGGAACGCCTGAATAAGTTTTACTATTTATATATTACTAAAACGTTGGCTTGCAAAAAACTTTTCTTGAATACAAAATGGATACTTTGTAACCTGGAGTCAGGATAACAATTTAATACAGTTTAATGAAAGAATCAAGCAAGCAAAAAGTGTTTTTTACTTCCATATTTTTAGACGAGGTTTTACCCTCATCGGATATTTTGAAAAACATGCTAGAAGAACCCGTAAAGTCCTGGAGAAATTTCAAACCATCCAATTTCATGGAAACAACAGATAGCTCGGATTTTACGCAGAGCAAGGATAATATCTGCGAAGAGAGTAGTTCTGTGTCTTCCGAAGAGCTTCCACAGAATAAAACAGATGCAGCGAACGCCGGTGACATGAAAGGTACTTTCATAATTATTTATTCGTGAAAATACAGCGTTTGTTAATTTCTAGAGTGCATGTTCCAAATAGCATTGAATTACACCACAACAACACCCATTAAACAGTTAATAAATAAATAATAATTATCTATACTAAAAAATTAAAAATAATATGTCCAAATGAAATGAATACAAAAACACAATCATACCCGACATATAGAAATTGTTAATGTTCAAAAAAATGTATAATAATAATAATAA